TGGCAGTACTATGATGTTCAAGTTTCCACCAAACCACTCACCATCTTGACTAGGAAATATATTGCCAGTCTTCTCTGTCACTGGGTCAATATCCTGGAACTCCCTACTTAACAGCACTGTGGCTGTACCTAACTGAATAGACTGCAGCAGTTCAAGAAGGCAGCTCCTCCAACACCTTGTCAAGGGCAATTAGGGATAGACAATAAATGTTGGTGCAGTCAGTGAAGCCCACATCCCCTAAATGAATTAGAAAAATAAAGATGTACATCTGTGAATTTTTAAGCGATAGCCTTAGCAGAAGCATAGAGTTCCAAAGTCACAGTGCCAGTACCAAATCTGTGTTATGTGCTAATTAGCATCATATTCTACCTGCTTTGCATAGTTATGGTGGAAGGACCATCTGGGTGCAGCAATGGCATCATCAAAATTTATCCAGGATGGTTCGCACCAAAGTATGTGTACACCACTAGTGCAATCTTTGGAGGTGAAATAGCACCCAGTGCTGACACAAATTGCATGGCTGCATTGTCTCAGGATAAGGTTTTAGCCATTTTGGATTGTTAAGAGGAAATATTTCTTTCACTCAAGGGACTTATGAGTCTTTGTATTCTCTACTCCAGCAGAATGATCAGGTAATGAGTACAATCAAAACAAAGATTGATGTGGAGGTGCCGATGTTGGACAGGGGTAGATAAGGTCAGAAGTCACATAACACCAGGTTATAGTCCAACAGGTTTGTTTGAAATCATAAGCTTTCATCAGGTGAAATGAAGAAAAGCTTACAGACACAGAATTAATATGCAGAGAGATCAATGGGCAGAGATCAAAAGATCATACAAATGGTGTGAGTGGAGTGTCGTCAGGCGAAATAATAGGTCTCTGCAGGTAATCAAAAGTGTCAGATGGTGCGAGTAAAGTGTCAACAGCTGAATAGTAAGTGAAGGGGATGACCTATAATTCAATTAATTGAGGCAGAGAGATAACTACAAAAAATTAAAAATAAGGTGGTGCTGGCGACAAACCAAATGGTTGGAATAACATGATAGGTATAAGAATCACATACCAAGGGTCTAACCAAAGTAATAAGCAATCCAAAACTGTACAAACTAATTAAAATAGAGAGATCATAACAAGTTATCAAGGTGATTGTGTTAAAACAGGACAGTAAGGAATATTTTACAAATACAAGACAGTATGGTGTGGTTACATGTAGCACAACGTGAACCCAAGATCATGGTTGAGTCTGTCCTCATGGGTATGAAACGTGGCTATCAGTTTCTGCTCGGTGATTCTGCAGTGTTGTGTATCTCAAAGGCAACCTTGGAGGATGCTTACCCGATGATCGGAAGCTGAATGTCCTTGACCGCTGAAGTGTTCCCCGACTGGGCAGGAATATCCCTATCTAGCGATTGTTGTACGGTATCCACTCATCTTTTGTCGTAGCATCTGCATGGTCTCACCAATATACCATGCCCCAGGGCATCCTTGCATGCAATGTACAAGGTAGACAACATTGGCCGAGTCACATGAGTATCTACCATGTACGTGGTGAGTGGTGTTCCCATGCGTGATGGCTGTATCCATGCGGATAATCTGACATGTCTCACAGAGGTTGTTGTGGTAGGGTTGTGTGGTGTTGTGTTCGATGTTGTCTGAAGGCTGGATAGTTTGCTGCAAATTATGGCCTGTTTAAGGTTTGGCGGCTGTTTGAAGGCAAGAAGTGGGGGCGTAGGGATGAAGATGGCAAGATGCTCGTCATCATTGATGACATGTTGAAGGCTGCGACGAACATGGCATAGATTCTCCACTCCAGGGAAGTATTGGACAATGAAGGGTACTCTATCGGTCATGTCCTGTGTCTGTCTTCTGAGGAGGTCATTATGGTTTTTCATTGTGGCACATCGGCACTGGTGATCGATGAGTTGAGCATCATATCCTGTCTTATGAGGGCATCTTTGAACATCTTTAGGTGTCCATTGTGTTCCTCCCTTTCCAAGCAGATCCTGTGTATACACACTGCTTGTTCGTAGAGGATGGCTTCTTTGACATATTTAGGGTACACCAGCTCTAGAGCAGATGCTGAAACCTTGAAATCGAGATAGAGTCCATATTCTCAGCTTGCGTTCAGGATACAGCAGATCAGCTACAAGACACTGCCAAGCAGATGAGGCAACAGTACTATGCCAACTACATGCACACCAAGAACAGGAAACTGGAGAAACTTGGCCACACCACCAGCAGTTACCAAGCCTGCCCTGGTACACGTTTGAAATCGGTACCACCACAGGGAAATCCATTGTCAACTTGTCTGACCACACCCTTCAGCTAGATGAAATTGAAGTTCTCAGCCAAGGGCTCAATTTCTGCCCCACTACCAAAATGGACCCATTGGTCTTGTGGCCAAGTCAGAGGCATTCATCAGGTGAATAAAGGTCCGGGAATTCTTCCACAAACCCCAAGATATCAATAGCGAACCCAACAAGACATCCAACGAACCACAACAGTCGGCAGAGAGATCCGTAGTGCAGTGACCAAAGAAGAAAGAGTCAAATTGGACCCTTCCAGAAAGCCACTGCCCGAGGTTTGACATGTATACTCAAACTATCAGGAGATGTGTTAATGCCAGGTTCATCAGCCGTGCTTACACAATAGCGCAGAACGTCACCCAAGCACAACACAACAACATCCGTGCTCTCAAAACCAGTTGCAACATGGTCATCAAACCAGCAGACCAAGGAGGAGCCATCATCACACAGAATAGAACGGATTACTGCAAAGAAGCATACTAACAACTGAACAGCCAGGAACACTACAGACAACGACCTGCCAATCTGACCAAAGAACACACCTATCAACTCAACAGACTGATCAAGACCTTTGATCCAGACCTTCAGAATATCCTATGCACTCTCATCCTCTGTACTTCTCGCAGAGGAGACTTCAACTGCCTTCTGAAGATACACAAAGCCAACACACCTGGATATCCTAATGGGCAATCAGGCAATGGGACCCTGTGTGAGAACCTCTCTGGCTATGTTGAGGACATCTTCAAACCCATTGTACAAGAAACAATGGACATTTCGGCACTCTACACAACCATACCCCATAATGATGGCATCGCTGCAACAGTATCTGTACTCAACAACAACAAATGCCAATCTCCAGATGCCATCCTACAATTCATCCACTTCATCCTCGACCACAACGTCTTCACCTTCAACAACCAGTTCTTCATCCAGACACATGGAACAGCCATGGGGACTAAATTTGCACTCCAATAACCCAACACTTTTATACACAAGTTTGAACAAGACTTCATTGCTGCACAGGACCTCCAACCAATGCTATACACCAGACACATCGACGACATTTTCTTCCTCTGGACTCATGGCGAGGAGTCATTGAAACGACTACACAACAATATCAACAAGATTCATCCCACCATCAGATCTACCATGGACTATTCTTCAGAATCAGTCTCATTCTTGGACACAATCATCTCCATCAAGGATGGATACCTCAGTACCTCACTCTATTGCAAGCCCATGGATAAGCTCATGATATTGCACTTCTCTAACTTCCACCATAAACATGTCAAAGAAGCCATCCCCTACCGACAAGCCTTGTTACACACAGTTTCTGCTCAGATGAGGAGGAAAACAACGGAAATCGAAAGATACTGAAAGACACTCTCATAAGAACGGGATACGATGCTCAACTCATTGATTGCCAGTTCTGATGTACCACAGCAAAAATCTGCTGCAGCCTCCTCAGAAGACAGATGCAGGACATAACCAATAGAGTACCCTTCATCTTCGAATACTTACCCGGAGCAGAGAAACTGATAGCTAAGTTCCATACCTATGAAGACGGCCTCAACCATGATCTTGGGTTTATGTCGTGCTACATGTAACCCTTCCATACTGCCCTTTATTTATAAAATCTTACTTACTGTCCTGTTTTAACATCATCACCTTGATAATTTGTTATGATCTCTCTACCTTAATTAGCTTGTATGGTTTTGGATTACTTATTGCTTTGGTTAGACCCTCAGCATGTGACTGTTATGCCTTTCACGTCACTCCAGCGTTTGGTTTGTCTCCAGCACCACCTTATTTTTAATTTTTTGTAACTATCTCTCTGCCTCAATTAACTGGATTATAGATCATCCCCTTCACTTACTATTCGTAGAATCCATGCAGTGTGGAAACAGGCCATTCAGCCCAACAAGTCCACACCACCCCTCTTAAGAGCATCCCACCCAGACCCCTTATTTCCCATGTCTAACCCACCTAAACATCCCTGGGCACTATGGGCAAGTTAAGCATAGCCAATCCACCTACCCTGCACATCTTTTTGGACTGTGGGAGGAAACCCACGCAGACACAGGGAGAACGTGCAAACTCCACCCAAGGCTGGAATTGAACCTGGGTCCCTGGCGCTGTGAGGTAGCAGTGCTAACCACTGAGCCACCATGCCACACTATTCAGATGTTGACACTTTACTCATACTGTCTGACAACTTTGATCACCTGCAGAGACTTATTATCCAGTCTATCAGCATTCCACTCGCGTCACTTTTATATTCTTTTGATCTCTCTGCTCATTGATCTCTCTACCTATAAATTCTGTGCCTCTATGCTTTTCTTCACTTCACTTGACTCAGGGCAGTGCTTCGAAAGCTTGTGATTTTAAATAAACCAGTTGGACTATAACCTGGGACTTCAAAACTAAGATTGATTTGAACATTAAGAGAATGTATGGGGTATAAAAATAGCTTGGGACAGAAAATCCACCATGACCTTACTGAGTGGCAGAGCAGTATTAAAGGCCTTACATTTCTTATGATTTTAACTGAAAAGGTGAATTAACTTCAGTTTAAATAGAAAATAGCTTTGATGTTCTTCACCTACTAAGTCTTTTAAAAAAGAAGCAAGTGTTATGAAGTCTTATGGTTTCTTTTCCGGAATGTAATGTTCTACATACATCTTCTTTCTGTAGTTATTTTCGTAATCTTACAAATGGAGGATACCGTCCAGGAAAATCAAGAGAAGAACGATCATCATCTCTACCTCCCTGCAAACCAACACTTACACCTGGTTTATTACGGGCCTTACATGCACAAGTAAGAAAGCAAAGTCTGCAAGTTTATATTTTTAATTAAGAAATTTTATTAATTAAAACCATACATACGTACAGCCCTTTCATAACAAAAGCACATTGCCATTTATTTTTGTTAACATACTAAAATCTCCAACAAAATTTTATTTTTATTGTACATAATTACTCTGAATCAATTGCTTTTAATTTTTTCATCTTTAGAATATACAATACCTACTTGTAACACTTTCGGTGGAAATAGATATTGTAAGGTTTCAGTCAGCTAAATACCTAATAAGTGATCATCTCTTTTTTTTAGCCATATTGCCCTATTTTCAGGTGACATAACTTTGTCACTGTATTAGAATAGTATCGAAACACAGTATTTAAAAAAAGTACATTTTAAATAAAAAGTTTTGAAATGAGAAGACACATATTTTAACAGGTTTGCAAGATCCTTGCTGTGACAATTAAGACTTCAATTAGAGCTGGTGGATTACCTGTTTTAGCTCATGATTCTTAAGTAGTGAGGTAGGAAGAACCAGGAAGGAATCACACCCCTACCTGTAATTTTGAGGACTGAAAGTCACCCCATTTGCATACCAGTCAGCAATTTCTGCTCAGTCACCAATTGGTTGCCTCAGTTTCATTACGCACATTATGGTTCAGAGGCCTGGTGTACACAGAGTTTACAATATGAAACTCCAAGGCCAGGAGTAGTTTGTTAGCTAATTTGCTTCCTAATCAACCACATGGATAATAAACACAGGGGTCTAGTCTATAAGTCTGTGCTGCAGTGACAAACAGGTCACATGGGCACAAAAAGATAATGGGAGTTTTGGAAGTCACACCATTAGAATGACACCTTCATATTACACTATTTTATTAATTTACAAAGAAATTGTTAAATGTTATGAGGGTTTCTTCCTTTTGTACCCTTTTAGGCAAATGAGTTTCAGACCATTATTGCTGACAAATGAAAACATTTTTCTATTTCTTCTTTCTAGTTCTTTAAAGCCAGGCTCCCTGGTTATTGATCTCTTTGGTTAAGGGGGATAAGACCTTTCTAGCCACCTTATAATTTTATACATGGCAAATAAATCTCCTCTCAGCCACTTCTGTTCAAAAGAAGACATTCCATGTAAACTTACTGATAGCTAACATTCTCCTTTCTCGGCAACATCATTGTAAGTCACCTCCAAACTCTCTCTGGAGTGATCACATCCTTCCTGTGATGACCAGAACTGTACATAGTACTCTAGCAATGGCCTAATTAGCGTTTTATAGAGTTTTAGCACAATATTTCCACTACTTTATAGATAGCCACAGTTTAGAACATATTCAACTAATACATACTCATTTTATAATGATTTTAAAGAGCTTTCTCCAACAGCTCAGTCAACCATGAACCTGATTTTTGATTTAACATGAGCAGTAAGTTATTGCAGCAGAAGAGTTAACCTGCAACTGAACTTAGTTTCAGTTTCCAGCATTCATGACAGCCTGAGATTTTGTAAAACACTACTAGACAGTTCACAAGGAGCTGCTGGTACCCAATCCTGATGACATCCCTCTCCTCCAGTAGCTGGCCCTCACTCCATGTCTGCTGAGCTCCAGCCCAGTTGCAGACTCCTGCTGACCACCAGAATGTGCAACTTTGGAACACTTTACCTCTATGTTATCCCATGGGATGGAGCCAAGCTGTGGTGAAGGTTATCTTCATGGTCAAAGTGGATGTGGGTGTCAATGGCTGAGAGTGGCTGGCAGCACAATGGCCTGGTTCTTATTGTTTGGGAGACTGCTAATGCTCAGGCAGGCATCCCTGACATCATTCTGGTGCAAACGCTGCAACAGTCATGTTAGCCTGGTTCTTTAAAATGATTCCGGATCTAACATAAACTATGTGTGGCAATTACTGCAGCCAGAATGATTCCTTGTCCTGATTGAGTATTTCCATTCTTATAAGAAAGATTGCTGGCAGATTCCATTGTGCGCTGTTAATTCAGATGCCATTCAGGTTTCTTTGAGAATCTGCTTGCTGTATCTGTGCCAAGGTTGCAATAAGCAGAGTGGTAATAGTGGGAAACACTCCGTCCAGGGCAAGAACATAAACCAAATTTTTTATCGCAAAATAATTTCCATTAGTGCATTTTCATTTAGTATGCTGTTTCTTAGAAACACATTAGGTGAGCTAAGTTGGCATGGCTGGACGATGTGCCTCAATTAATGAAGAAAGTATTCTGTGTGCTTAGAGTCATAGAGTCATACAGCACGGAAACAGATCCTTTGTCCAACTTGTCCATGCCAACCAGATATCCCAAGCTGATCTAGTCTTATTTGCCAGCATTTGACCCATATCCCTCTAAACCCTTCCTATTCATATACCCATCCAGATGCCTTTTAACTGTTGTAATTGTACCAGCCTCCATCACTTCCTTTGGCAGCTCATTCCATACATGCACGACGCTCTGCATGAAAATGTTGCCAAACAAACTGATGGAATTATAGGCTGACAAGTTTCTGGATCCAAATGAACTTCACCCTGGCATCTTAAAATAAGTGCTAATGAAGCATTGGTATTAAATTTCCAAAATTCCCTGATTCAGGAAAAGTTCTATCAGTCTGGAAAACAGCAAATAAAAGTCCTTGATTCAAGAAGGGAGAGAGGCAAAAAACAAAAAAAAAATAGTGGTCAGCTGGCTCAACATTTATTGTGGAAAAGGTGTTAGAATAAATCATAAAGAGATTTGTTGCAGCATGCATGAAAAAGAAAGCCTTAAGGTAATTTGGAAGAGTCAGCATGATTTTGTTAAAAGGAAATCATGATTAACTAATTTATTGAAGTTCCTTGAAGGAGTATCACACACTGTGGGTAAAGCGGATTGTGAACTTCCAGTATACATTTGACACGTTGCCACATAAAAATAAATGTTCATGGTATGGTGGTACCATATTAGCAAGGTTAGAAGACTGACAGGCTGGAAGAAAACAGAAAGCACGCGTGAATATCTTCTTCTGATTCACAGGATGTGACAAGTGGAACCCCATAGGGGTCTATGCTGGGGCCTCAACTTCATACAATTTACATTAATGATTTACATGAGGACAGCGAAGGCATTGTAGCTAAATCTCAGATGACACCAAGATAGGTAGGAAAGTATATTGTGAATTAGGCATAAGGAAGTCGCAGATGGATATAGATAGATTGCATGAATGGGAAAAAAGATCTAGCAGATGGAGTATAATGTAGAAGTGTGAAGTTGATCACTATAGCAGGAAGAATGAAAGAGTACAGTACAACTTAAATGGAGAACAATGGCAGAATTCTGAAGCGATGAGAGATTTAGTTATTTGGTGCATGAGTCACAAAATGTTAGTGTACACATACAGCACAAATGAAGAAGGTTAGTGAAATGACATTCTTTATTATTAGAGGAATTAAACATAAGTAAGTATGCTTCAGTTACATAGGGCATTCAGTTACATAGGGAACCATACCTTGAATACTGTGTGCAGTTTGTTCTCATGTAAGGAATGATGGAAATGCATTGGAGGTTGTTCAGAGGACAACTCTGAGTTTACTCTGATTGATATCTGAGATGAGCGGGTTGTCTTATGGGGATTGGATGAATGGGCTGAGCTTGTTTCCACTGGTGTTTAGAAGAGTGAATTCTGACTTGATTGAAGTAGATGACATCAAAATAGAATGTTTTCTTTTGTGGGTCAGGCCAGAACTATGAGGTACTGTTTTAAAATTTCGTGTTGCATTGTTAAGACCGAGATGAGGCTTTTTTTTTTCTGTCAGAACGTTGTGCGACTTTGAAACTCTTTGCCTTAGAAGTTGGTGTAGGTGAACACAGAATTGGATAGATTTTTGATAGGCAGGGAAATCAAGAGTTATCAGGGATAGATGTGAATGTGGAATTCAAAGCACATACAGATCATACATATTGAACGGTGGAGTGGGCTGAAAGGGCTGAATGGTCCTCTTCTGTTCACTTCTTTTTGCATATTTATATTCAGTCATAGAAGATTGAAATGAAGCTTCAATATTTCCTTCTTGCTTTTCTTAATAGCTCTGGGATACATTTCATCTGGGTCTGATGATTATCTCTTTTCAAAGATGCCAAACCCCTTAATATTTCTTCTTTCAATTTTACTGCAATCAATATTTCACATTCCTTTTTTTGAAGCACAATGTCTGCATCATCAACCATTTTTTTGAGAAGACAAGCACAAAAGTATGCATTAAGAAATACGGGAAAACAGTGTTACTCATGACTGAGAAATTGCTGAAAAATCCATGGGGTCTGTCTTGACTGCATCTATTATATAATACACTCTGTGGATGTTGAGAAACCATTTGTCTGTCACCCATATTTACATCATGTTAATTCTGGATGTTAGAATGTAAGTTGTGTTGAATCATTGCATTTTGTTCTAATGTTCTAATTTTGTACAGTAAAGTTTATTCTGTTTGTCCAAAACTGAAATCTTGTGCCTTTGTTTCCTTAGTAAGTACCTGGATTTCAAACTTTATCCACTTTGAGCAAAAAATGTTACATGTCCCTAGCCTAACTGAAACATAAATTTGGCAGTCTCAAGGATCATAATAGAATAAAACACATGAATAATTCAGATCTAGCCATATTTTATCAGCTATCTCACAGTTCATCTTCAAGATTTGATAAATGTGTTCATTGTTGTTACATCCCTGAGTTACATGACAGAATTATGCATAGGTACATTTCTGAACAACTGGCAAAACTTATAACAGCAAATAAACATTCTTTCCTCTGCATTTAGCATTATTTACATGATACTAAATCTGACCCAGTAGCACTGAAAACAAGCAAGAGGGAGAAAAAGTGGCAAAAACTTAGCACTCGCTTACCTATTAACAATTCTCTTACTTTGTGCAGTGTTTCATACCAGAAGAAATTCCACATGTTGCGAATTGAATAATTTTATAAGTTTTAGTTTAGCAAAACTATCTAATGCAATCATAAATGAAAGACTGGGCAATAATTCTGTGACTGATGTTTTAATATGAATTCTTGGTATGTGAAAAAGATTTTAACGATTCAATAAAAAGAAATATACTGCTCTGTACAATGAGGAATCATAATTGATAACAGAAATTATTTTTTAAAAATGAACCTGTTGGCATATTATTAAAAAAACTTCTAAAAATACAAGCCTCCTTCATTAAAACACATTAACCAACCGATTCAATGTTGCTTTAATTGGAGCAGATGCAGAGCTGTTGTTAAACACAATACTGTGTACTTCAAATTCTGATGAAAAACACTCCCATTGGTCCCTGAACCAACACACAGAACATACAAGAAGTCATTTGTTTTGGGCATGGAATGGGTGTGACATTAGCAATGGTGTCATGGTGCAAGCTCAATGTGAGTGGCAGATGGAATGAACTGCTTTCAGGTTTCGGCTTTATTTTCATTCAGCTGGAAAACTGTAAGCACCTGCTCCAGCTACACAGTTTTCCATGTCATTAGTATGATGTAGATTTAAATGAAGAAGCAGTACAAAACAAAAGGATTGTTGTGGAACTCAAGAAGAATTCTTGCTAATTCTGCTCCAGATAAATCAAATATAAAATATAAACACTTACATGATTGGTGATGCTTTCAACAATACCCTTCAGAACAGCTGGCGTTACAACAATGAAGAGTGCAGGAGGGCATACCAGTTACAGCTGAAAATAAGGTGTCAACGCAGTGAAGCTACAATAGAGGACTAGTTGGGTACCAAGCAGCAGAGCAGAAAGCAACAGATGGGACAAGGCAGGACAAACCCACAACTAAATGATCAGATCCAAGGTCTGGCGTCCTGTCTTTATCCACTTGTGAATTGTGGAGATAATTGAACAACTCACTGAAGGAGCACGCCACAAATATCACCATCCTCAATGATGGGGTAACCTAACACATAAACGCAAAAGACAAGGCTGAAACATTTACAAGCATCTTCAAGAGAAATGCTCAGGACAATCCATTGTGGGCTCACCCTGAAGTCCCCAGCATCATAGATATTAACCTCCGAACAAATTGATTCATTCCGAGTGATATCAAGGAACATGAAGGCACTGGATACTGCAAAGGCTATGGACTCTGATAACATTCTGGTAATGATACTGAATGTTTGTGCTCTAGAACTAGACATGCCTCTAGACAAGCTATACGCAGCAATATTGAAATTTTCCCATGTATACCCGTCCAAACAAAAAAAACTAAATCTAACTTGGCATATTATCACTTCCTGGCACATGGAGGATAGTAAAATGTAGGGCATGCAGGGTATTTTGATCTTAGTAGGATAATAGATCAGCACAACATCGTGGGCCGAAGGGTCCGTACTGTGCTGTACTGTTCTATGTTCTATGTTCTATGTTACCCTACTTTCATTTATCAGCAAGGTATAGAGGGTGTTTCAATAGTACTGTCAAGCAGCACACACTAACAACAATCTGCTCTCTGATGCTCAGTTCGGGTTCTACCAGGCCCAATCAATTCCTGACCTCATTACTGTCTTAGACCAAACATAGATTCGAGGGGAAGTGAGAATGATTGCCCTTGAAATCAAGGTAGAACCTCACCAGGTGTGGCATAAAAGAGCCTGAGCAAAACTGTAGTCAATAGGAATTAGGGGAAAACTCTCTACTGGCTGGAGTCATACCTGGCATGTAGGAAGATGGTTGTGGTTGTTGGGGGTCAGTCATCTCAGCTCCAGAACATCTCTGCAGGAGTTCCTTAGGGTAGTGTCCTCGGCCCAACTATCTTCAACTGCTTCATCAAAGACATACCCTCTGTAATAAAGTGGGAGGTGGAAACATTTGCTGATGATTACCTAAGAGTACCATTTGCAAATCCTCAGAAACTGAAGTAGTCCATGTCCAAATGCAGCAAGACCTGGATGATATCCAGGTTTGGGCTGACAAATAACATTCATGCCACACTAGTTCGAGGCAATGACTATCTCCAACAAAAGAGAATCCAACAATTGCCCCTTGATACTCAGTGGTATCACCATTACTGAATCCCTCACTGTCAACATTCTAGGGGTTACATTTAACTGGAAATTGAAGTGGATCAGCCATATAAACTCTATTGATAAGAGCAGGTCAGAGGCCAAATCACGTGACATGCTGTGCACCTCTTGACTCCTTAATGCCTATGCGCAAGTCAGGAGTATGATGGAATATTTTCTACTTACTTGGATGAGTACACCTCCAGTAATATCCAGAAGTTTAACATCATTCAGGACAAAACAGCCAGCTGAATAACACACACCTAACATCTTCAGCATTCAGTCTCCCCATCACTGATGCACAATGGCAGTAGTGTGTACGATCTCCAAGTTGCATAACTCACTGAAATTCCTTTGACAGCACCTGCCATCTCTGCCACCCCGAAGAACAGGAGCAACAGAATCATGAGTACAGTATCACCAGCAAATTCCCATCCAAACTACATACTCGGAATATATCATTATTCCTTCACTATTGCAGGATCAAATTCCTGGAACTTTCTCCCCTACACCATTGTGAGTGTCCCTACCTGTCATGGACTGCACCAATTCAAGAAGGTAGTTCAGCACCAATTCCCAAGTGCAATGAGAGATGCCTCATATAGACAGTGACACACATCCTGTGAATAAATAGAAAAAGCACATGAAGACATGGCACAAGTATAATATAAACATGCTGCATGCACTTCTCCTTGAGCGTTGCAATTGGGGTTCTTCAAATTGGTGTAGGATATGCATAACCAAAAGCCTTCTATCTGTCATAGACTGCAGGATACTCACTTTGAAGTCAATCTTGTAAGCTGATTTAGATGGGCAAATTGATGCATAAGGTGTTCATAGGACTTCAACTGTTGGATGGAATAGATGGGAACAGGTGCTAAAGTGGGACCTTGTGGGGTGCAATTGTGCTGACTCTTTGTGTCCAATACAACAGTTATAATATTTCATAAAACAATATCGTTTGTTGTGATGTACCTGTCCTAAACACATGATAAGGTGCTACGTAAAATTACTTTATTCCCCTTTCCTTGCAATTCAATTGGTGATTTATTCAGACCTCATTCAAATATTTTATTTCATAAAATTTCCATTAGTCTTTCTGGTACATCAGTTGTAAAATTAATATCATTTTTCATCTGTTGCCTAAAGGTAAATGGAAGATTAATTGTACAATCAAAAGAGATTGAACAAAAATGGAATGATCTTGGTCTGCCACCGGACATTCTAAGACGCATAATGACTGTGGGTGGCTTTGGCGTGGAGATTGAATGGATGAAATTCTTTGCGTTGGGTTGCAGCATTCTTGATCCTGTAAGTATTCCTTACTTTATAATTTACTTTTAACTGTATGCTGCTAAATCCTAGATTATTGGCAATTGTTCACTAAGTTACATAAGAGCTATGTCGATTTATATAACTGGAATACAGGACACTTTGGGAAATGGAAATCCACCCACGATGTTAAAAAAATCACGTCTGGAGAAAAGATCTTGTCAAAGAAAACATTTCATATTAAGATTGGAGATAGAAGAAGTCTTCAAAGAGATTAATTGAATCCTAGATCATGTATCTTTGACAATTAAATACATTGGAATGTAAGAATTGGAAGAAATGATTTAATCCCTGAAACCAGTTCCGCCATTCAATGAGATCACTTCTGATCTGTGACCTAATTCCTGGGCTAAACTTTCAGGGTCCCTGACGTCAGGAATGGAGTTTAGGGGTGGCCACAAAAGTATCAGCACCAGCAGGTATTTCAGTTTCAGGAAGTCAATCCTGGTACTGACAATAATCATCACGGCAGAACAGATGCCCAACTCTTATCTTATTTCAGGCCAATTGAACATGTTACAAAATGTGTTTAGAGTGTGCAGGGACTGAAGTTCCAATTTTTAAAGTACTGATAAACTTACTGCACCATCAGAAAGTGACAATCTAAAGATGACAGGGAGCATGAGAACTCAGCACTAGAGCTTTGTAAAACATTGGTACCAATCCCCATCCCCTGGCATCATAGGGACAGTACAGCAAGGGACAAAGTTGTCAAGGATAGTCAGGCAGTCACCTATCCAGAATTATGGCTTCAGCTTCCAATGAGGGCCCAATCATCAGATTTTGGGACCCATGGTGAAAAGGGAAACACCCTTCACAGGAAAGGCAAAACGTCAGGCATCAAAAGACCATGAGAGAGGAAAGAAGAGCAGGAACACAACAGAGGACCAACTAACAATACAGGCTCCGCTCCTGAGGAAGCAACTACCCGGAGTTGACAGAGACACAATTTCTCAGAAGACTTTGACTCTCCGGGCAGATGTTCACAGGTATCTGTTTTCATGTCACCAACCTCACACCAGGCAGCAACTGACATCAGAACTTACCAGTGGCCATTAAATTCAATGTGGCTTTGAACTTTTATTTTACCTTCATGTAGGATCAGCTGTGGACCTTGGTGGTGTCTCACTTGGAATGGAAAATTACAGCATCTTGTTGGTCACTGATGTACTCTTTAATAGAGCTGATAGCACATCCATTTATCAACAGGCACACCCTCAATGGACAGTGGATATTGGGTTTCTCCTCAATTGCTGGATTCCCCGATGCAGTGCATCATTTATTTCATCCATGTGGCCACTAGGGATCTGAATGACTGCCCAGAGAAATTTATCCTAAAGAAGAGTTTCAATACCCTCAATGTCCAAGTGGTTTTGAATACAAGAGCCTTCCCAATGTATGTGTTTGCTTTGCTCACAGTTGCTATGATCCTTTCATCCTCTGCCATGTAATCTACTTCAAATCTTCACTCTATTCCCCAAGGTTCATGTAAGGATCCTAGGATATAAGAAAAATTCCTTGAAGAGATGGCCACTGACTGCTCTACAGGAGTACTGAACAAATGCAGTCACCAAACAACCACTAACACTTGCTTAGCAGAACAACCTTTGAAGAGTCAATAGGTTTCCAGAGATGTGCTTTGATTGTCTTCCAATATCCTCTGAAAAAGGTCTGCTCTGCTCTACATGATATGGAGAGAGGTGTTGAAAGATACAGCTCATAGGGGGAGGAACAAGAGCTGGAGATAAGAGAGGATGAAGAATTGGAGGCAGAATAAGATAACACGGAGTAGAGGAGTACCTGTGCTGCAGGGTGAAATGACCTTCTCCTGTAAACCTCTGGAAAGCTGTTCTCCCTCCTCTCCATCAGAATTCCATTCAAATTGTCATCACTGAAATAAGGGTTTACCCTTCCCTGAGTGTCAGGCATCTGGCTCCCAGGAACCATTCCCACTTTCCTCTAGGCAGATTTTGATATAGATCACAGATCTTTCAAATAGGCCAACAAACAGCATCAATGATGGCTACCTTTGGTGTCTAATGAGTCCCCCACTTCATCTGACCAGGCTCCATTCAAATTCCCATTGGCTGTAAATGATCAGGAAATACATATCAATTAAGGGCTTATCCTGTGAAAAACCGAACTTTAATCAATTTCCTACTGAAGGTGAGTTTCTGACACAAAAACAAACCTTTTTCCTGTTCCCACCTGTTTTTTTTTTGCGCAAAAATAATCAAATTCAAGTATCTACCTTTGTTGCATATTCCTTCATATCTCTAGATAACAAAAATCTGTCAATTCAGATTTAGAATTTACAATTGATCTGTTGTCATTAACAGAACACAGTTCCAATCTTTGACTGCTTTTCATGGGTCTCAGTATTTCCTAATTTCATTTCTGAATATAAAAATAGGAAAGGATTGATCTGTACAAAACAATAATCAGGCTGTAGCTGGATATTATGCCCAGTTTAAGACAGTCCATTCACTAAATAATATTGCAACTTGGAAAAATGCAATACAAATTTCTTAGGATTTAACCAGAAATGGAAATATATTCATGATGAGAAACTTGAGTGAAAGTCTATTCAGTGGTCACTTAATTGCTGACAAGTGGGAGTTATTCCATAGGTGGCAAATATGGAAATACATAGAAAAAGGAATTGTAAAGCCACAGTATTAGAGTTGATTTGTGTTGGAATGTAATGTAATCTGCCAGCAAATCACAAAAACTTCGCTTTTCATTCACAGAATATTACAAACGCCATGAAGTATGCCTTTGAAATTTTAAGCTCAAGTGAAGATGGTGGTCGAATCCCTTACACTACATTTAGATTCCTCTACAGTTACCTTGCCATGATAGATGGTGAAATTCATCGATCACAGATTGAGAAAATGCTGAACAACATTGAGCGGCAAGTGTAAGTACATTGTGCTTTGAATTACATAATTCAAAGTATTGAGTGAGATAGATGGCATACTCAGAAGGATTGCCCTTTTTCTTTGAACCTCTTCATTGAATCACTGGTGATAAATTCAGATATCAGGTGAGTTGTAGAAGGCAGTAAGAGGAATGATTCAAGTTTAGAAGATGTTTGATGTCAACAAAGTCATTCTTAGAACTACTTCTCTTTCAGATTAATTTAATTCATTCACCTCTTTTAAAAGTGGAAAGACAAATAGCATAAAGAAACATGTGGGGCTCTCCTGAAAAAAAAGGGCATGAGGATTTACAGTTGTGATATTCATACATAGATCGATATCATTTTTAATTAATGACCACTAGTTGCTGGAGACATAGCAGCAAAAAATGAAAAAAGCCTTTTGACCTTGGATATTACAGTTAGAATGATCAATTAGTCTTTAAAAGTCGGATCAAAACAAAATGATTCTTTTTAAAGGTTTGTGGGTTTCACCACATAACTGCTTTACAAATACACTGCATCAAGAATTATTTAAAATTCATGTATGTTGCCCTAGTAGACCCATTAAAAGGCCACTTAGTTGAGCCAGACAAGATTTTTCTTGCCACATGGTCAGAGTGAAGATTGCAATCAACCATTTATTTTGATGCACTTGGTTTAGAACCATTCCTTCCTGTCATTGTGTGCTATATAGAACCGTTGTGGTTAATTTAACATTATACATCTATATGCACATAAATGTACAACGATTATAACATTCTCCTTTTGGAAGTAGCAAATTACAGGAGTTTATGGGTGTGCCAGGCGCAAGCAGGTTGAACAGAGCACAATGTTAAATTGCACCTAATGCTGATTTAGCAAGTCAACTGCCAGTTTTGGCAGACAGATTCTGTTATGTCCACTATTAATCTGTGCTAGGTGAACCTGTGTAAAGGGGCTCTCACTTGCACTCTTTAGAGGGATCACTATTCAATTGAGGTGAGGTGTCTTTGATTTTTTTTGAGTGTTAGTGGGAATACTGTGTTGAGTGCTATTGGAGGGCGTTATAGAAGTTTCTAGTTTCATGGCTACGTAGTGCTGGATCCATTGAAGGAGTTTGATGGATTTTAAAGCAGGAAGTATGGTTTCACTGTCAGGAAGAGTATGCTTTTACCAGTAGGCATAATTGTTGCAGTCCCTCTTGTAGATGGTGTGTAGTGTGTAGAATAAGAAAGGTGTGTTCAGAGGAAGGAGTAGGAAGGGAGTTTTCAACTCCCAGTTCCAATAAAGAGAATATTTCTCCTACTTCCACATCAGGCAGTAGTAGAGTCTGAAGTGCCTATATTTTACCAAGGAAACAGTAATTAAACTGTGCGACCTTTTGCAACCAAACCTGAAGGTGTACCGCAGGGCAAGGAGAGTATGCCTGTTAGCACAAAAACAATTGTGTCTTATTTTTTATGCCTCAGGATCTTTCAAGGTTGATGTAGGTAAAATGTCTAAAATCTCACAGATTCCCATGCATTACTGCGTCAGGGAGATGAGACAGACCCTGCTCAGAAGGAGAGGAAACTCCATCACCTTAATTTCCTTTCACTAGAAGAAGACTGGCTGTTTCAAGTCTAGTGGAATCTGCATCAGTGCAGGATGCCACTAATTACCTGCACATGGCTCTGTGGGCTCAATGACCATATAGTTGGCATGCACCTCGCATAGAAGAGTCTATTTGTGAATGCCTACTATGTTTGTGAATGTCTGCTATCGTGGTAGCAATCAAGATGCTTTCACCTTTTTACTTGCTGCCTCTCTTGGTGACCAGCTCACCACTGTGCTCACTGCCCCCCTTGCTGCTTCATCCTTTCCCCTTACTACCCCATTCTTCATCTGGCCTGGCACCTAACTTGCGGAGTAGGGCAGAGAATGAGGTATAGGGTAAGATGGTAAGGGCTCTTACAGAGAGCTTCTCTAAGTCGCCAAGCTTTGCAACTTATTTCAGGAGAACCAAGCTATTATGTTAAAATAAATTTAAACTCAAAAGTATGAAGCCATTGCACAAACCTTGCAGCCTCATTGGCAGTGGCATCACTGACACAGTGGTTCATGGCCTGTGAGTGCCCGCTTACAGTTGCAATTGCAGTAGTAACAAGTACAATCTTTCCAATAATACATATATAACTGAACCATACACCTTTATATATTCTCCTAATCATTGTCTTGTGGGTACGTTTGCCTGTACGCTTGTTAACTCAGTTGGCTGAACAGCTGGTTTGCAATGCTGAAAAATGCCAACAGCAGAAACACAGATCTCTGCACCTCTTTGACAACTTGAATGTCTGTTTAAGCACTGGTGTCCACGACCATGTTAGCATTAGTTTTAGCCCATAAGTCACCAAGAGGGACTAGTATAATAACAACCATGGATCTCATGACTTCAGTCTGACCAATGAGATAGTGGTTAATTTCTACTTTTGCTGCAAGGGAAGCTGAGTCATTGGGCACCAGATGTAGGGACATACTAGGTCCAACTAATGATGTACACAAACAGTAGTAAATATGTGTTTCATACTATCAACTTTGTGGAAAATATCAATAAAATCAGACCATCCAAAATATTTGCAAAAATTCTAATTATCTGTCCTCAGAAAACTGATGACTATTTGTTACTGGCTAAGGTTGATAGGGCAAGTACTAATATACCACACCTGCAAATTCGAAAAAAAATGTATCCACAGGTATAGGAAGCCATGGTGAATGTACAACTTTCAACATACAACAGTTTGCTAATTCCATGGGCACGGTCAGTAGTATTGGAGTGTAAATATAATCAATCTGTCTGATGTCACAGATGTTCTACAACATAGGTACTGCTGGACCAACAACTGCAAGTCCAAAAGTGTGCCCTAACCTTGCATCATGATCCATGGCCTTAGTCAAACATCAGAGACACAACAGGATCAAAACAGACTAGTCAAGAAACACTTGCAGAACTAAACATGAATGAAGAATGGAATACTTCACTTTCTTCTAAATTAGTGGGGCTAAAATCTCAGCTGTGCTCTGTGGAGAGAAAAGTGAAAATCCAAGAGGAAAAGGCTGAACAACTAATTCAGAATTAATCCAAAAATGAGAATACTACCTCTGAGATGATGACATCTTTAGGGAATATCTCCAAACAGTTCAGCAAGATGATTGAAGAACTGGAAGAGATAAAGGAAGCAAAATGAACTACAGCCTCTGTGTCATCAATCCAATGAGATGTTTACTGTTTTACAGGGCGATCTGGAGCAAATCACACACAAAATAGGTCAGATTCAGCCAGACAAACTACAGAAGCTTTGGCTTGAGCTGAAACGCAATTCTGGAGAAAATATCAGATCTTCGAAAACAAGTCGTGATACGCACAGTCCACAACAAACAGCTTCAAATCATTTATGGGGCAGTCCTTTCAGAAATAGTTGCCTGTTATGCTGCTCTAGAACAAGAACTCAGGCAAGACATAGAGGAAATCAAACAACCACTGAAGCAGAAATGGGAAGAGGTCGGGACTTCAATGAAACAAAAACGAAAATAAACTTGGAGAGGCTGAACAGTTTTAGAGCAAGTTATGAAAAAGAACATATATTGGGCCAAGAGGATGCTAAAACATTGACAGAAGTGGAAGAATCCAGTGCAAATCCAGAAACTTCAAAATGAGCTGGAAGGTCTTAAGGAACAAAACTGTAAATGTCAAAAGGTTTGTGAAATAACTCCGCCAAGGCTGGAATCCCGTTACTAAGCCAGCCTTTATTTACATGTACATAGTACGTGACACTGACTCTGTTAAGTCAGAGCTGGCTCCGAGAGTGAGCAGAACCCCAACCCTCCTGTTTATATCTGTCAGCCAGGACTCCCTGATTGGACCAGGTTAACAGCCCCAATCAGGGCACTCATATTGTATGAGATCCACTTGGCTGACCTTGTTCCAATCACTACATTCATCTTCCCCTAAGTCCTGGGATGTAGGCCCATTCTTTTTCCTGAAGCTTCTCCTAGACAGTTTTGCGCCTGGTCCAGTTCCACTGACTTTGCCTCGTATACAGGCGGTGTGTAACATACTGTAGCCTACCTCTTGTCCCCAGAGCTCTTGTCCGAAATTCATCAAGGCTGCGATATCTGCCAGGGCCATCTTGTCCTTAGAGATTTCTTCGATGCTAGGTGGAGTGGTGAACCCATGAATTCTGAATGCCTTGCCAGATGTTCTGAGGGGCCGGGCATGTTTTGCTCCTGCCCCGTTTGCAAAGTTGCAGTTTTCACGTGGTCTACACACTTGTTCAGGTTTGCCTGTCCAACGCAAATTATGTACATCACAGGACATGACCTTGCACCAACTATGCCTCTTACCCATGCAGGACCATTCCCGTGATTTCAATACCTAACTTCATCCTCTGAAGTAAACTGCCTCTCTCACGTAGAGAAGTCTTGTGTCTGACATTGGAGTTCCTGATGCTATTTTCACTGTCCCCTACCCCAGGTTCGGGAAGATCAGTTTTAATCCGTGCAGAGTATTCTCCCCATTAGCAATTCTGCTGAATCTATCCTTGTAGTTGTACGAGGGATGGTCCTATAAACAAATAGGAACTGGGACAGTTTGGTATCAAATGACGCTGTAGGTTGCTTCTTTAAGCCTGCCTTCAAAGTTTGGACTGCTCTTTCTGCCAGGGCATTGGACGATGGATGGTATGGAGCTGTCTTTACATGTCGAATGCCATTCAACTTTAGGAAATACTCAAATTCCCTGCTGGTAAATGATGGCTTGTTATATGTGATCAACTCTGGGTGTCTGTGTATTGCAAAAATGCTCACAACTTTTCAATTGTCATCCCCATGTTTGATGAATGAACTCTGTGCATGTCCAACCACTTTGAAAAGGCGTCCACAAGGACTAAAAACACAGATCCCATGAAAGGACTTGGATAATCAATACGTAACCGAGTCTAAGATTGACCCAGCCTTTCCCACAAATGTGGGGCAGCTGCTAGCGGTCCTTGTTGGCACTCTGGGCACTGCCATAGAACAGACTGTTCTGGTATGTGGCACCACTGGTGGTGTATCCACCAGTTGGAGGTGGCTTAAGTCATCCGAATCTGCCACTTGGTCTCCTGGATGATGTTCCAACTTGTAATTGTACGTACTTGGAATAAGAGCTCACTGAATTTGGCCTGAAGCTATGGGCAGCACTGCCTTGTCCTCTTTAAGTTGACCTAGTAGAGCTTTGTGGTCCATTACTATTACAAATTTACATCTGTAAAGGTCTTGGTGGAATTTTCTCACACCAAATATGACCGGCAAATGTTCCTTCGCTGTCTAGGTGTATCTTCGTTCAGCATCAGCCAAGGTACCGAAAGCATATGCTATCAGGCATTCCTGTCTGCTGAGCCACAAGTGAGCCAATACTGTAGGGGAAATCGTCACATGTCAGGACCACATCTCGCTTGGGACCATAGCATGCCAATACCTTAGTTGATGATTGCTGCTTCTTCACTTCCGTAAAGGCGACATCTTGGCTTTGAGAACATTTCCAAGGCTGACCTTTTTTCATTAGCAGATGTAAGGGTACCAGGATAGAGGCTAGGTTACATGTAAATTTTCCATAATAATTCACCAAGCCAAGGAAACACTTGAGGTCCAGTTCAAACATGGGAGTCGGGGCACCTGTGGTCACTCTCACCTTATTTTCCAATGGGTGTAACCCAGTCTTGTCAACTCTGTAGCCCAAGTAAGTCACTTGGAGTGCCTTGAACAGACATTTTTCCCTTCTAAGGTGTACACCCACTTTGGAGAAACTTTTAAGGACTATGTCCAAGTTCGCTAAATGATTTTTACTGGTATTACTGGTTATTAGCATGTCATCCAGATAAATGGTGATCTGGTGTAGACCTTGCAAAACGTTCTCCATCATCTGCTGGAAAATGGCACAGGCTGATGATACCCCAAAAGGCAGTCTCATACATTGGTACAAACCCTTATGGGTATTAATTGTAGCATACTTCTAGGTATCCTCATATAATTGCAATTGCAGGTATGCATGGCTCATGTCCAGCTTTGTGAAGGACAGCACCCCACCACACCAGTTTTGTTTATAAGTCCACTTTATGAGGGATTACGTATTTATCCAGCTGCAAAAAGTGGTTTACCATTTGTTTGAAATCCCCAGAAAGGCAAACTAATGCGTCGAGCTTCCAAAGCAGTACGACAAATGCTGCCCATTCTGCAAACTGGAGTGGTTTGATGATTCCTTCTCTTTCCTTCTGATTTCTGCAGCTACTTTTGCATGTAAGGCAAATAGCACTGGGCATGCCTTTCAGAGTCATAGAATTGCTTCTTGGTCAATATTTAAGGTGACCTTCCCTCCTTTGATCATCACTTAAGCCTTCCTGAAAAGCATCCAAGTATTTAATTAGGACTTCATTCAGACAGACATTTTCTAATAGAAAAATGTTGAGTCAATCTAGGTGAATCTTTCTCAACCAATTTCACCCCATCTAATTTGGGCCTGAGTCTTTTACTACAATCAGTGATAACTGAACCAGCTGCTTCTCATAAGAAACTCAAACTGAAGTTGTACACTTAAATCTGTAGGAGTTCCTGGTATAGGTTCTCAGCCTGGCCAAGGTCTTATGCAAACTTAAGGTTTGGAGTCCAGAGCGAATTTTGGTAAAGAATGTTTCTGCAATCACTGATACAGCCGTGCTGGTATTGACCTGGGTGAAAATTTAATCAGACTTTTATTTTGATTGGTTCTGATTTGGAGGTTGCTAAGCAATATAACTGTTTCAAACCAGCTGTAGATGGACCTTCTAAGCTTTGCACTCTCCTGGATACTGGCCTATGAGTTCTCTTACTCAATTCAAGTCTAGTGGGGCTCAGTCCTGACAAAGGGTTCTGGCACAAAACATTGACTTTCCTGCACCTCGGATGCTGTCTGACCTGCTGTGTTTTTCCAGCTTCACATCTATTTACTGGGACTTTTTTGCTGTCTTGAGTCCGCATACCAGTAGCATCTACAATGGCCTGCTAGCCCAGGTCCTCGAGAAAATTTTAACTGTTTGGCCGAGGCTTGGCTTTGTTTTGGCTTTTACTGTGGACTGACCTAGAGTCCCTCTGTTCAGGATATGTCCTGAGTAAGGCTATGCAATTGTTGGCTCCCAAGCTCAATCAGCCTGACAAGGGTGTCCTCTTCTGTCGAAATACTCTGTAACTCATTAGCTCCGCTGGCTGCATTTTCTAATGACAAAGCCAGTTTAAGTGTCTGTTTCAAGTCCAGTTGGGCTTCAGCTAGTTGGCAATTTGCATGGCCACATCATTAATCCCACATACTAATCAGTCTCTCAGCATCTCACTTAGGATTAAAACAAAATCACATGCCTCTGCCAGTCATCTTAACCTAGTCAAAAATTCCGATACAGATTCCCCTTGTTCACAAACTGCCGAGTAAAACCAATAGCGTTTCAGAATTAGAGGAGGCTTGGGGGTCATAACATTCCCTCGCTAAATCCATCAATTTTAGTATCTGGTGCCTCAGAAAGTTAGGCTTCTAATTACCAAAAAAGCTGTAGATCCACAAACTGTCAGGAAAATAATTCATTGTTTTTTGTCTGCTCCATTGTCATTTGCCCGGAAAAGCTAATGCGTTCTTTCCACATACTGGGCCCAGTCTTCAATGACAAGATTGAAAAAGTCAACGGTATGACACCTGAAATGCTTACCCCAACTCAAAGACTACTGTTGCAAGAAATCTCTTTTGGGGTGTGGTTTTCTCTTGTCACCACTTAAATAATTTCACGAAAACTGATATCCCGTCAACATGTGCACAGTATTTGATGCTGACCCTGCTACTGAGAACCAGCTTGTAGAATGACCAGAACCCCTGACACTCCTGTTTATATCTGTCAGCCAGGACTGCCTGATTGTACCAGGTTAACAACCCCAACCAAGGAACTCCTATTCTGCGAGGTCTACCTGGCTGACCTCATTCCAATCACTACAGCTTGAACCAGTCAAAACAGCTTGAGGAAGAGATCACGTCAGTGGCTAATCTGGAAGAAAACTTGGCTGAAGTGATGCAAATTAAGCAATTTGTAATCTATGAAAGAAAAACATGACAACACCAACATGGATGACGACTAATACCAATGATGACTGTGGCATTGAGGACACCTCCAGACAAAGTCACAAGACATGGATATAAAAGCAAATTACCTATATGTTATAGAGATGCATTGGCTCGCTTGTTATTGTAAATACTTAAACCTTCTTTTAGAAAGTTGGTGGGTGTTGGATGTAGAATTACCTTTAAGAAAAATTATCTTGATGAGCAATTGATTCTTCAATCATTATCATTAACCTGACAGTATGTGGAAGCAGTGGTGAGCCCCTTCTGAATGTCCAACCAGTTAGCAGTATGTTTCACACTGAGCACAATACAATCTTAGATGAAGCAGGCAGCATGTAGTTTCCATGTTACTTCCCTCTACAGGACTAGGCTTGAGGGCACATTGTGTTCTCCACATCCATTATCAGACCGAATCAAAGTTTTCCCCTTCTATACCTAAATGGATTATTTGGCTGACCATTCATAACTGGAACTTTATAATATTTATAATCATGTTTAAATTGCAAGTTCAGCCATAAATTTTATCTCTATCTAAAGGAAAGCTGGAACAAGCATAAAAAAATTTATGAACTATTAACTGCCAAGCTGTTTTCACCTTTATTGTATCTTTTTCTTGTGACCTACAGTGCTGAAAATGATGGACTTGTCAGAGTGAGCGATTTCACCAACTGCTGACTGCACAAGTAATATATCATCCAGCAACTTCAGAAACCTGAAGGTTATGTAATAGATGAAATTAATTTCATCTTTAGAAACTTCACCTCTTGGTAATGGAGTTACTGTGTCAGTAGTGCTGCATAAGTTGCATAGATCAATAAACCTCTTAATCTAGTGGGGTCATGTATTTTCTGAGGTCTGTGTTTAATGTATCAATAACAGACATGTTCTATTAGCTTTTAACATCCATAAGGAAACTCATTGATTTGTTCAAACAATTTTGCTTTCTTATTACCTGTCAACATATCTATTCAAAATAATAACCAGCACTGCACCAGCAGAAAAATCTATCAAGTTCAATATTAATGTTTTATTATATTCATTTTAAACAACAAATATAAAAAGTGACATGTTATATTACATTTGTGGTTGATAACAGTTTTATGTAATGTACTATGTTGCAAGTATTACAAAAGTGTAAATTCAAAACTCCAAATGCAATAGTTCTTATTTATTTACTGCTGAGAATCTCCAAGTGGTCAATCACCCATAATGCGTCAAATATGCTTTGCAACTCATTCTGCAACTTACGTTCCAAAGAACACTTTCCATAATTTTATTCATTTATCCTACGGATAAAAAAGACCAATTTAGAAAAAGATTGAATATATTTCCAAGATTTGAGAAGGTTCAATGCAAAGGAATGTTGCAACTGAGTAGCGTGCCAGATATCACACTTGAAGCATAATTAGATGAAAAACAAATAGATGGAAAACATTGTCTAAGACATTATTTTTCTTCAGAGAGAAGGTGTCGCCTGATTTAAGCATTGCAAATTTCCTCTAAAAAAATGGGGAAAAAAATTCCAAAGCCTATTCAACAATTCTTTAAATTGTTGCCTAAAATGACACTGCTTCTCCAAAGTTGGCCACTTCGAAATGCAAACATGGTGAAGGCAACTTCACAACAGGCAGAAACATCTCTAGGACACATAAAATATTGTGATGATGATCAGGAAATCCACCAAATCTTCCAGAATCTAATTCTTAACTTCTCTTCCCAACTCTAATGAGGACCAAGCTAATATTTAGATGAACGTCATGTTCATGAAATTATTCGTTTACAGCTTGTATTGCACTGCACATTTGTGGAATCAGAGTTTTCTCTGCAAAATCATTTGTTTCATGAATCCTTTAAAACAAGGAATTCCTTCACACATTCGAGAAGGCAAGTGGAATATCTGGCAAGTGGAATGTTTGAAAGAGGTGAGTTATTCATGACAGAATACCCAGCCCTTGATCTGTTATCGTAGCTAGTATATTTATGAGACCGGTTCAGTCAAGTTTATGAAAAATGGTAACACATCAGATGTTGATAGTGTAGGCTTTAATGATGGTAATACCATTAAAAATTAAGAGGAAGTGATTACATTTTTTCTTATGGGAGATGTTCATTATCTTGTGTATCCTGGATGTTACTTTGCTACATATCAAACAAAGCTTAACATTTTTTCTTATGGGAGATGTTCATTATCTTGTGTATCCTGGATGTTACTTTGCTACATATCAAACAAAGCTTAACTGTAAGCAAGGACTGTTTTGTTATCTGTGGAACTAGAAAAGGCATTTATCAATCAACACCCACATTCCTGATCTTATGATGGAGGGGTGATTATTGAGAAAGTAGCTGAAAATAGTTAGGTCTATGACTGCCTCTAGGTACTCGCGAATTGTTGAATTGTCCACTACCATTAAATCTGCAAATGAAGGGTTTGCAGGACATTGGTCTGATCCATTGATTGTGGAATAACTGTCTGTAGAATTCTGCTTCACTTATGGCATGCTTATAATTCTGTATTGTAGTCACACCAGGCAAGCACCTCAATTTTAGGCATGCTTGGTTTGTTTTCTGGGAAGCTCTCCTACATTTAAACCAGGGTTGATTCTGTTACGAAGCAGAAGTTGATACCTCTCTGATAATTAAAAATGAAACCCCAGAGAAGTTTGCTTCACCTCATAATCTGTTAAAGGAAACGTGAAAATGGGTATAACCTGCCTCTCACCTCCCAACCTGTTATAAAGGAGAGGTGAAATAAAATGAACTCCTGACAGTCAATCTACAATCAACAAGTAACAATTTGTTTATCTAACTCTAACAGTTAACAAATTAACAGAACTACTAACAAACCGAACAATTCACCCTTAACTACTAACTATGCCCCAATAAAACAAAATTCTAATGGTATGTTGTTCCAATAGATATGAAACCGAGTTGTGTAAACCAAATTAATTTTTTAAAAATTAAAACTTAATCTCTCAAAATTGTAGTCAGGACAAATCTTCCGGAATGTTCTTTATGTTCTCTGCTGTCCCTCAGTCAGGAACACCTTCCTCCATTGAATTCTTGTGTCAGGAATATTAGCTAAGAGTGCCATAGTACCTTTATTTAGATGGTGCTTACTCTGAGAGCTTAGAAATTTCTGTGAGAGCCAGTGAGTTTCTCTACAGATGGCAGTTCATTCTCACCAATTTTCAAATTCCCTCTTCTTTTGTACTATCAATTTATTATAATAGGATTGGTCCTAGGTCGTCAAAATCATCAGATTTAAATTTAAATGGTATAAATTAATAGGTTTATATTCAAACTGGTTGCCTTCACAACAAAACAAACCAAGACTACTGCCTGCGATTCTAACTATCAGCCTTTTGATACAATGTTTCAATTTGAGAGCTCTCTGTGCATCTGCTGTTGCCTGCAGACATTTTTAAAATCTCGAAACCTAGACAAAATGCATCATCTTTTAAAGGGACTGCACATTCTGCACCCCTCCCCCCATCATTTTACAAACATCAAATCCTAACGCCTTGTCTTCTAATTCACAAGTACTAAACCAACTTCGCAACAATTCCCAGATTAAATTTTAATGTTAGAGTAAGAATATACCAGACTATGCATAGATTACAGTTTGTGGTGGAATGCATTTCTGCTTCTGTTATTGGATGTTCAATTTTGAGCTGCTTCATCAGTTCTGAATCTATCCCATTTAACACGGTGGCATTGTCATATAATATAATGAAGTGTTCTCAGTGTAAAGACATGACTTTGTCTCCACAAAGTCTCAACTACTCAGTCTCTATGGCATGTTCACCATCTACAAGGTACTATTCAGAAGGAAGAAGACAGCTCCAATTACACTCAAGCTGGACAACACTGAGGACAAAGCATTTAACTTAATTGGCAGCTGATCCATAAACTCTCCATTGGCGCACAATGCCAACTGTATGTATTTATCTAAAACTCATCAAGACTCCTTCAATAGCAGCTCTACTGCCAAGCATGACAAGAGCAGTTGAGGTAGGGAAATACCACCACCTTAAAGCTGGCTCCAAGTCATCTGGTCTCCTGTCTGGAATTATATTGCTGTTCCTTTACTGTCACTAAGTCAAAAACCTAAGGCTTCCTATCTAATAGTACTGTGGTGTACCTATACCAGATAGACTGTGCTGTTTAAGAATAAAACTCACCATCATCTTTTTAAGGGAAATTGGGAATGGCCAATAAAAGCTGGCCTTGCCAGAAACGCTCACATCTCAAGTACTATCTCACCAACAGCAACTTATATTTAAATAGTGCCTTTAAAATAATAAATCATCCCAAGGTGCTTCATAGGGACATTGTGAGAAGGCATGAGCAACTATTAGACACAGTCACCTCAGGTAGAACTGGTAAAATTGGGGTGCACTGGTGATGGCTGAGGATTTGTGGAAATCACAAAGTTAGGTAGAGGAGAGCCCAAGGAGGCATTTGAAAATAAGGATGAGAATTGTAAAATCAAGAAATTGCTTGACTAATTGCCAACATAGGTCAGCGAGCACAACACAGGTAAGGAATGTGGACTTGGTGCCTGTTAAAATATGAGCAGCAGTGTTTTGGATGACATCAGGTTTAGGAGGGTAGATTATTTGACACCAAGTAGGTGCACATTAGAATAGTGTTAAGTGTAATTTTCACATACATAATGTAAAAGGTTGACTTCAGTTTTTCAGAAAAGGTCAAAAATTTCAAAGTATAATCTTGGAGACATTATTGATTCAGTTTCATTGTAAATGTAAGAAAAGTAATGAAAACTAAGTGATAAATTTTAAAAATATTTACACATGAAAATAAGAAAACAGGTGAAATGTATATAAAATTTGTAATGTTATAAAATAAATAAGTGCTAGATATGAAATATAAATTCTTTAGTGTTGTGTTTTCACTTTATTCTATTACAGTGATCTTTCTTGGATCTCACCTGGCAGTAAATCAAGCATGCATGTCAACTCCACAAAGCATTACCCATGCAACTGCTGACCCCATTGTTGTATAAGACATCCAGCACCTGAAAGGGTTAACTCATATCATAAGATAAACTTTATCCTTCAGAATGTTAAGAAATGCTCTCGGGAGTAGCAACCATTTTGGTTGTTATTTTTCTAGTACTAATTTCCATGTAGCTAAATGTGTATTCATCATAGAATCCCTACAGTGTGGAAACAGGACCTTCAGCCCAACATGTCCACACCAACCCTCAGAGCATCCCACCCAGACCCATCCCTCTAATCTACACATTCCTGAACATACTGGCAATTTAACATGGCCAATCCATCTAGCTTGCACATCTTTGGACTGTGGGAGGAAACCGGAGCACCCGGAGGAAACCCACACAGACACAGGGAGAATGTGCAATCTCCACACAGATAGTCACCCGAGGGTGGAATCAAACCCAGGTCCCTGGTGCTGTGAGACAGCAGTGCTAACCACTGAGCCACCATGCCACATATCTTAAGCCCAACCTGAGATCTCACATGAGACTATCATGCAACTCAGTACTTAATTGCTAATTGCATTATATTTATGTAGGAAACCTATTCTGTTCAACAAGACTAAGTCTCACTTCTGCCAAAGAATTTATGTGAACATCCTTCCCCACTTAATATCAGTAACTTAGACTACTTACAATAAGGTGAACTAGTGGCAATGAATCTAACCAAGGCATTTCAA